TGGTGACTGATGCACGTTAAATCTGTCGAGTCGCAACGCTCTCCATGTTCTCATAACAAATCAATGCCTCTGGGGGTACTGGATGCTAAAAAATACAATTTATTAAGTTTATCATTTTTTTTAAAAGTTAATACTGGAAAGTTTAGTTCGATGATTTTAAAGCAGACATTACAAAAATGGTTGCAGTCTTTTCATGGCCTATGATAAAAAGAAAAGTATAATTTAATAAAAAAAAGTTCCAAAGGGTTCTTTTTTCCATTGGGTGTATTTAAAAAGTGCTTAATTTTTGCCCTTTTTGAAAATGAGATTCATGTCAATTCTCGTCACGTATTATGCAAAAGCGTGCTTTTCACATTGTTCTATTCAACGTTTTCACAATTCATTCGGTATGATGAATAAGACACTCATCAAAACTTTAATTCTTAGAACTATTTTTGAATCTGATGAATGCACTAAATTTGTGTTTTATATCACATTACAAATTTTATTTTATTTTATGTCCGTCGTTAAACAGCAGACCCAATTTTTTGGGTTTACGACTACAAATGTTCAACTCCGTAGCCTTGTCATTTTGAACCCAATCCAGATGACAAGGGAACTCCTGGATCAAATATTGGGCGAAATTTTCCTTCGTGGACGACTTTTCAATGGAACTAACTTGCATTTGTGTTGGATGGAAGACCACGAGAATATCCCGCGATTAACTTGACAGCAAAGGGACTCAAACCCGTCTACGACTGAGGATATTTCACGCCAGAACTGTGATCGGTTTAAGCCGGATGCGGAATTGATATCGATCAGCCATCGCCGAGATTCGAACCCGGTTCAAAAAATTCTGTATAGCCTTCGGTTATACACAATTTTCCTACGACCTGCGGTGACCAAACAAATAAGCTGTTTTTGATTTTACATTTATTGTCACCGATTATGGCTTGAAAAATTTTCCTAACTTCCTTGTTTTCTTCTTCACTTAAACATTAGTTTGCGATCCATAGAAAATGTTTTATTTCATTTTTTACAGAGCGCGAAATAAAAAGAGGAGCAACTTGTCAGGTACTAATACTCAATCTTAACGGTTAACAAATACCGTGGTGGCTCACGCAACGCTTCTTTCCCAAAGAGGTGACCAAGGTTCGTATCTCAGAGATGGCTGATCGATAGGAATTCCGCACCCGGCTCTCACGGACCTCATTGTGGATGTTCAGTGGTAGACAGATCATTAATTAGAGTCCCCTTGCCGTCAGACTAACCAGGGAACGTGGTTTTTCTCTCCATGTAACGCAAATGCGAGTTAGTTTCATCGAAAAAAGTCTTCCACAAGGGTTAAATTTCTCCTAATACTTGATCATGCAGTCTTCTGGATTGGGTCAAACATTTTTAGGCTACAGAGTTGAACATTGATAGTCGTTAACTCAAAATCGGGTTGACTGTTCAATGATGGATATAAAATAAAACTAATAAGAACGGGAAATATTTTTAAGTTACAAACTCGGGACCAAAAGCGAATTTCCTATTGTTAAGCTATTATAAATTTTCGAACGATTTGCTTTTCTTGAAAATATGGGGTTAACCGCAAATTGGAAACTTGTTCAATCTGGTGCGTGGTTGAAACATAATATTAATTTCCCTTTTTGTATATTTGCAATTTAAGGGGAATTTTTTTTCCACACAATTATGAAAGTTGTCTTTCCAATTATAATTTGAAGCTGAAAAAAGTTCTTATATTTAATATTTTCAAATTATAAATTTAAGAATTTTAGCAAAATTTAAAATTTTTTGTCATAGTTATTTTTTTTTTGTCGTTTATATAAATACAACTTTAAATAACAGATTTAAAATTTATAAATGATAAGGAAATGAGATTAAAACTTATGAGTTCTTAAGACTTAGATTAAAACTTAAACTTTTTAACAACTTTTTTAAAAACTTTTTAACAGAAGAACTGCATTTTCATTCTTACTTTCTAATCCCGCTTTTATTCTAGGTAACATTTAAAATTCTTAGACTATCATTAAACTAAATGGTACTGAAAATGTAATTTTTACATTGAATTATTTTTGACTAAATGTGTTTCATAATAAGAAGCAAAAATCGTTTGATTTGCTTAACTATTTGCAGTGATAAACTGAAGCAGCAAAAATTGGAAATTAACATTAAAGTGTAGACAATTTTGATCACTTTTCTGATTTAACTAGTGAGACCATATTTTTAAGATGGCGTGGCTATCACTATAATTTAAGGATTAGGATTCCAAATCTATCACAAAAAAATTATGTTTATTTAGAGGAAGTATACGTTTTTGTGCTTACGTTTTTTTGCTAACTTTTTAGTTGCTTAGCATTATTACGTCGCACTAGAGCTGCACAATGAGCTGTTGGCAACTATCTGGGTAACATCACTGAGGATGATCCGAAGACATGCCATCGCAATTTTGATCCTCTGCAGAGGGGATGGCTCCCCTGCGCGCGAATTCAGGCTCTTTACAGTAGAACAATTTAACGAGGGCCGATACCGTGCACCAGCAGTCCCTACGCAGGCTGTTCAAAGTGGTCACCCACCCTCTCACTGACAGAAGCCGACTTCGGTGCTGTACTGGGAACGGTGTCTTTTCGATCACTCCACTACGGAACCATAGATACAGAAGGGAAGATGCATCTATGGTTAGGGTGGAAATCGAACTCTCGACCTCCATACTTTAGAATGTTTTGAAGATGAACAATATCCCACTGTAACACGCATGTTTGGTTACTGTTACGCATATTTGCTGTTGTTGTTGATGTAATTCATTTACATCGCACTAGATCTGCACAATGGGTTATTGACGACAGTCCGTGAGACATCCCATAGGATGGTCCGAAGGCATGCCATCACAATTTTGATTCTCTGAAGAGAGGATGGCACCCTCGCTTCAGTAGCCCGACGTACTGCACGCTAAGTCGAGCACTTTACGATAGAATAGTTTAACGAGGACCCATACCGCCCACCCTCGGTCCCTATGCAGATTGATTCAAGTGGTCACACACCCCCTCGCACACTGACAGCAGCCAGTGATGCCTTACTTCTGTGATCTACTGGGAACTGTGTCTTAACGATCAGCCCACTGCGGAACCTGTTACCCATGCATATGCAGGTTGATGAGCTCAATACAAAGAACGGTTTGTAAATTAATTTAACAGATATTATAAATTATAGAAGGAAAGCCCAAAGTTACAAGCACCGAGATTCGAACCTGCTACCACTCTAAGCTTCCTCATTTTTAAGCGCAGAGCTGAATAATAATACCTTTCGGCCACTGAGGACCAAATTTTCTATACACAAAATATTGAAGTGCGCCATAAATTAATCGCTATCGGTTTCTTTTAAAAGTATAATAATACCAAAGTTAACATGGATAGCGAGTTTATTCTAAAATTTGGAAAAATGCCACAGTCATATTATTTCCAAAACCTGGTAAAAACCACCTAAATGCAGAAAAACTACAGGCCAATTAGCCTCTTTTATCATGGAAAGGATTATACTTAATCGACTATATCATTTACTAAGTTTCCTCCCGGATGAACAATTTGGATTTCGGAAAAATCTCTCAACAACCAAACAATTGATCAGAATTATTGAATTTATAAGCGAGGGTTTCGTTAAAAAGAAAGCCACTGCCTTACTCATGTTGGACGTCGCAAAGGCGTTCGACAAAGTATGGCACATTGGGCTAATCTACAAAATGATTCGGCAAAATATTCCAGACGACTTCATCCACATTATTAACGATTACCTAACTAATAGGTCATTTCAAATTAAAATCAATGACTATTTCTCAACAAATAGAAAAATTCAAGCCGCAAGGATCTATACTGGGGCCAGTACTTTTGCTTATTTACTGTTCAGACTTCCCTGTAAAAAGGGGAGATCCAAGTTTTCAAACGGCATTTTACGCAGATGTTACTGCGATCCTCAGCAGGTCACTTAATGTTAATAACGCAATCAAATGACTTCAAAATAATAAAACTGACATTGAAATCTGGTGCAGCAAATGGAAAGCCAGGATAAACAGCATAAAATCGAATCTAATAATTATTCGCAAGACCTACAGAAAGAGAAAAATCAATTATGAAAAAATCATTTTATTTAATGAGGAAGTACCCAAAGTCGACAAGGCTAACTATCTGGAAATTACATGTATCAAACATCCTGCGAAAAGCAGCTTATCAAGCCCTTAAACCAATCCTAAACAAAGATTGGCTTTACACACCAAAAGGCTGATGTGTATCAGGCTCTGCTATGCATCCCCGACTCTCTCAAACGCCCAACAAAAAGACTGAGGACATAAAGTTATGAGTAGAATCACAGGGGTATTGGTTAGATATTGATTTTATCGAAAACAATAGAAACTTCAGTCCGATCACCGTTTTTTTCCTGAGCGACTGCGTTCTATCTAGCAATTTCAGTTAATATTTCTGGACAAACCCTGCACCAATGAAGCCCGGGGGGAGGCGAGGGAGTCCACTCCATTTATAAATATCTTTTCTTTTGTAAATATCTTATTGTTTTTATTATCTTATGTACTATTTGCGATATGTTTGACCCAGATTTGATTTCCTAATTGTATTTATAAGAGATTTAACAAATGCCCTTCCTTTTACCTAAACTCAGATATCCGCCTAGGATAGGCACTCCGAAANGTATCAGTACAAGTCGTTTCTGAATTAAATTTCATTTGATTCTGATGATTCCTTCATGGTGTTGCATTTTCTACAAACAGCAGTTTATCTTATTGTTTTTATTATCTTATGTACTATTTGCGATATGTTTGACCCAGATTTGATTTCCTAATTGTATTTATAAGAGATTTAACAAATGTTAAGTACCGCCCTTCCTTTTACCTAAACTCGATGAAGGAGCAGATATCCGCCTAGGATAGGCACTCCGAAAATACTTGAATAGAGTGGATAGCGAGTTTGTATTGCTCCACCTATAAAGGTTTTGTAGCATCTCTGAAAGGGCCGTGAGACGCCCAGTTCCACTACAACGAACGAACGAACATAGCTGACGTTTTATTCAAATCTTGTGGATTATTGAATTCGAAGTTAGCTTCAATTTTTATTCCTCTTCTCGATTTTGACGAAAGGTGACTTCAAATTTTGTCTTTTTTCTAATAAGAAAATTTAAATATTGTTTTTTAAAACTCTGAAAAGCAGGGAATTTTAATTTTGTTTGCTTGGTATGTAATGTTCAATACTCTACCACAGAATTCTATCCTGTATAAGTATGATTAATTTGATTTTCATGATTTTCTTTTGTAACGAAAAATGTACTTGTCTTCCAACTGTGGGTGTTACAATCGTAGTTTGATTACTATGACTTTTAGCTTGTGCCATCATATGTTTTATTTTATTTTTATCCTTCGATAATATAACTTTATTAAAATCTGACATTTCTATTGAATAAAAGCTTTAATGAAAACTTTTTTTTTTACAGTATTGAAGATAAAAATGGAACATTTTATTGATTTAAATGCAGATAATTTACTTTAGATATGTATCTATTACAGCTTTAAAAGCAGATTTTTCAAGTTCCCAAGCTTTGAAAAATTTTAATTTTGAACATTGTATTTGGATATTTGAGTGCCTTATCATTTAGATTTTATAATTTCTTCTTCAGGAGCGCAACAGCCCTTTGCAGGCCTTGGCTGCCTCAACAGCACGCCTTCTCCAGCTCCCTCTGTCCATGGCAACTCCCCTCCAGTTCTTAAGTTTTAGGACTTTGAGGTCGTTTTCGGTGTCGTTGAGCCATCGAGTCTACCTCTAGAGCGGGACCCCTGAGGTTTCTTGAAGGTGGCAATTTTTACAGGGCTATCTTCAGAGCCTCTCCAGATATGGCCGAGCCATCTTAGTCGGTTGCTTCGGATTATCTGCATAATTTGAGGATGTTTATAGAGCCCATAAAGTTCAAAGTTGTACCGCCAACATCCCCCCTCTGGTATGGCACCAAAGATAGTTCTAAATATCTTTCTTTCAAACGTTTCTATCGGACGTTGGACGTCAAGGTTTAAAGTCCAGGTTTCGTTTCCGTATAGCAAGACAGGCAGAATGAGTGTCTTATATAATTTAAGTTTTGTTTTTCAGCTAATAAGATTCGATCTTAGTTGACTTTTTAGTCCAAGATTTTATAATTTAAGATACGAAAACTGTTCGTATCGTGCAAGTAATTATTTTTCACTTTGTAGCTTTTGGTAATCTTTATGAAAATCTAATTCATACAAAACCATCTAGTTTACGGACAGCTCCATAACTAAATTCAAATTTTAAAGTTACTAACGATGTTAATTCTGTCGTCGTCACTTTAAGAAATTATTTATTTTTCATTGTTAGCATAACCGAAAGTTTTTAAATTGTGACAAAATATAGCTAAAAATTACTTACTTGGAGTACTGAAACTTGAATACTGTAAGCTTTATTTTTACGATACTGTTTTAAACTGTTACTTAAATTATGGTAAAATGACTTTTCTAGTTTTTTACTAGAGCTAAATAAACCCCTTATGTAAAAATAAAACTTTTTGCCATACAAATTTTAAAAATCTTTGTAGAACATCAAAATTATTCTCCGTGAGGGAGAATTTTGAGCTGATATTACTCCATAGTTTTAAATTTTATCCGTATTAAAGATGAAAATTTCAGTGTTTTATTTTCCGAAAATCCCAATTTCGATATTAACTTTTTCCAAACTTAAATAAGGAATCATTATTGTAGCTTGAACAAAATATTTTCGGGACTCAAGTTATTGACTTTTTAAACAATAAGCTTGGTTTATAGCATTTTGTGTAATAGAAGTAATGTGCAGTTCTTAAAACTTACTAACTTTAAGATATGAATGAATCAAAATTTAACCACAGATAACTGAGCCCTAGTCAAATTCGTTCGCATTAGTCATTTAGATTCCTATATTTTGTATTCAGAACGTTACCTTGCCATAGTCAAAGCATGGCGAATGTTAAATTTTATATGTAATCTATATTTTTAATAAATTTAAGGGGTCACACTACCCAAAAAAAATTATCAAAATATCGGTATTTTTTTTATTGCTTATAATAAAACTTTAAACTATTTCAAATGCACTGAAAAAAAATCATCTCTTTATCTACATTTGTAAAAATGTTATGAATGATTTTAGATTGCCCTACAATTAAAAATTTGATCAGCAGACAGACTTTAAAGTACTTTTTCTCATAGATGATGATTTTGTGTATTAATCATAATTAAATCCTTAAAGAATTTTTTTCTGTTTATATGAAGCTTTGAAGTAATTTTTTTTATCTTAAGTAGAATACGTTTATTTAAATACATAGAATAAGCAATTTATGGGGGTATTACAATTTTTGCATCCGGCTAGCACCGATCACACTGCTGACGTGAAATATCAATAGTGATAGACGGATCATGGGTTAGTCCCCTTGCCATCAGGCTAACCGTGGGAGGTTCTCGTGGTCTTCCTCTCCATGTAACGCAAATGCGGGTTAGCTCCATCGAAAAGTCCTTCACGAAGGCAAATTTCTCCCAATACTCTATCCAGGAGTTCCCTTGTCTTCTGGATTGGGCTCAAAATGACAAGGTTACGGAGTTGAACATTATTGGTCTTAAACCCATAAAATTGGGTCGGCTGTTCAACGACGGTTATAAAATAAAATTAAAAAATATATGAGCTTAAATTATGGTAGGGTTACTAGAGATTCCGTAATAGGCAGGATAACCTAAAATTCAGGAAGTCATCTTACAATAATATGTTTGCATTTTTACTTTTGAAAAATATTTTCCTCATTTGAGACCTAATGGTTTATTCTAGGTCTACCTGGATTCTCTTTTTCTTTTCTAAGTTAAGATGACCCAAGTGTCTTTGTATTTTTGAGAGAAAAAGTCTCTAATTTGAGTAGTTGTCCTCAAAAACTCCTTAAGGACAGAATGTCCTCAAATCTTAATGTCTTTAAATTGTTTGAAAACATCTCGTCGTTTTTCTTTTATGCTATGAAATATCAAGAATCAAATGCCTGTGATTTACTGAACAAGATAATTTTGCCTTTCCGTGAATACTAAGAATGACATGCTAAAATTAATTTGCGGGAACTCCATTTCAACGGAGAATAAACTAGTAATCATTACGTCTTTTTTAAAGTCTTAGCAAATAAAGAATATTTTTTATATTAAAACTGCTGAGTAATGACATAAAGCTTGTTTCTTCATCTGATATTTTTAAAAATATATGAGTGTCCTCGATTATTAATTTGCTTCTCTAATTTGTTTTCAAATCATGGTTTAGTGATGTGGTCGAATTGTTCTAAACTTTACATTTTGAGTCAGCAGCTGCCATTAAGCTTCTAACACGATATAATGTTATTTTATGAAGAGTTGTTATCGACAATGTCAACCTTGATCTAAGAAAAGGTACCCCAAAGTGGAATCAAATTAACATGCCTTACATACCAGTTAATTGGAATTTCATTTTTGTGGTGGTTGACACCAGGGCAAAAGAGTTCACTCCGCTCTTAGAGCTGAAGCTACGATTTCCCTCCTCATGACGTCACTGTGTCCACAGATCTCTGAGATAGCAAGCAAAGATATAACTTTGCATCTTTCTCTTTGTAAAAATAAGTGAGACTTTTTCTGGTTATTAGCTTTTAAACTTTACGTAATTAACACATTATTTCCATTCATGAACATAGTTCAAAAAAATTTTCTTGGCAATTTTCTATATATATATTTCTCTTACACGGTGACAAAAAAAAGCCTCATTACAACTCCCCGAATGGCAACTCGAATTTTTATCACGAATTTATTTGTTTTACTAGAATTTATTTGTTTATGCAGGTTTTTCCATTGCAATTCACTTATTTTCATTTTTAATAGACTTATTTATAGCCAAGACGCCCGGTGGCTGTGCGGTAGTGCTTCGCGCAGTCGTGCCACAGGTCCCTGGTTCGATCCTCGGACCGGGCAAGGTTGACTAAGCTTTTCATCCCTTCAGTGGGTCGATAAATGAGTACCAAGCTTGCTTGGGAACTAAACACTGGGGGTTCCGCGTTCGGCTGACCACCTGACCGGAATATCTGCTCCTGCACCCCAGAGCCCAAGGTCAAGAAAACTGAGATGGGCACAGTAGGCCTCGGCCCTCTATGGGCTGTCGCGCCGCTGAGTTTATTTATAGCCAAAATTTTAACCTTTTTAAAGAGATATCAGTTTTAGAAATTTATCTTAAGAGTTTATACTATAGCACATTTCTAATAGGTTTAACGAATTACATGTCATTTATTTGAATTCAAATTTATTTTAATGACTTAGTATTTACTAAAAAGATGTAATTTTTTTTTAAAGTTGTTATATGGATTTGACTGATTGTTTTGAATTCTTAGAATTTTGTGCATTTGCAATATACCTAAGTTAGTAGCGAGCGAAGCAATCCGTACAAGATTGCGTAGCAATTTTCGGGGGTTGGCGAGCGTTAGCGAGCAGGGGGCGCAGCTCACTAGTTATAAAGAAAAATTTGGAAGCCCTTACAAGCTCGAGTTGGGGTTCTGGGAGCTAATACCATCCTGTAAATCAGTTCCTGTAAACAAATAATAATAAAATAAATGTTTTTTAAAACTACTTTATTTAGGTAGACTAAAAAGGTGAAAGTTTTAAATTTTTATAGCACTTTAAATAAAAAAACGGTAAGTGTATCACATTTAAAAAGAAAGAAAAACGACGATGAATTGCTTGAGGTGATAGAAGCTTATGGCAAAAACGAATTCATACATCATGGCGGCCAAAATTATTTTAAATCGAATTCAGAGCATTATTTGTGGTACAACTGAAACACATTTTAGGAAGTTTTACTTCAGAAATTCCGTGGGAACTGGAGGGTAANAAACATTATTTGCTAATTTAGTTTCCTTTCTTTCTTTCAGAAACCACTTTCGCACTCTTGGCGACTATTTTTATTTAGGCATCAAGCTTTGTTCCATTTCAAAACGGGGTCTTCATTTCTTTATAAAAGGGTAATACGATATGCCTCTTTTGCAGGCAGATGTTTTTACTCTTAAAATTTTAATACAGATGTTTCAAAAGGGGTTGGGAAAAAAAATCTTATCTAGACAAAGAAGAAAAAAAATTTATTTTCTAATTAGTATTCTTTCTCCCTTTTCTGGAGACACCACATGCTCATCCTTGGCGACTATTTTTAATTCCAATTTGCATCAAATTTTGCTCCATTTCAAAACGGGGTTTGTATTTCTTTATAAAAGGGTAAATACAAAAACGCCATATTTGTTAGCAGATGTTTTACTTATCAAATTTTACTGCTGAGTCTATAAAAAGATGCTAAAAAAATCGTTTTCATTCTCGGACAAAATTTTTCGCTTGATTTTTTTCTTTCTATGAAACAGTTTTAAAACGATTTGATAACTCTAAAGAACACATACTTTTCTTTAGCATTACATTTAAAAATAATTATATTTAAATCACAATTTTTTTAAAGTGCTTGCTTAAAAAGAGAATTTAAAGTAAATAAAAAAGAACTCAAATAGTAATGATATTCCTCACTGTTAAAGAAATAAAATATAATTAAACTTATTTAAAAATTACACAACATACACTCTTAGAACTTCGAAAGCAGAAGGGAAGGTAAAAAATCTTCGAATTATCAAAAATTCGAATTTAGAATGAATACTTGGAAAACGCTGATTTCACGAAGTTATCTAAAAAGAAATAAACGTTCTTTCAATTTTTTTATTTTTAACGATTATCTGATAAATAAGGTGATACACTAAATCAGAAACGAATCGACACTTTTGAGAGCAATGGATTATTACTTTTCTGGGGCCATCTCTTTACCAACAATATTCACACGCTATTGAAATTTTTACTTTAATTATAACTTAATGATTGATTTATACATACTCTTAAGTATTAATTCTTAGTCAAAATTAAAAGTAACAAAAGCATTTATCTATCTACATCTATGATAAAGTACAGCAACAAAAAAGAATCATTCTGAATAAGTTTTGTTCTCATGATAGAATTTTCGCGTATTAAATACCGAACTTAAAGGAGTAAACTTAAATATGCTAATTAATTAGTGTTAACTATTAAGTTAACGAAATCAGTTTAACTCAATATTTTGGAATACTATTAATTCCATTCAGTAGATGGAGTAAAAAGAGTTTTCACAAAAAAAAACCAAAATGCATATTTTTTTCGTTGTAGGATACTATCACAATATATATTTAAAAATTAATCAAATATTATCATTTTGAGCCGCGATGGCTCAGGGGATAGAGCGTTCGTCTTCCAGGTTCGAAGCCCAAAGACGACTGGTCGATACGAATTCCGCTACCAGCTTGTACGACTACAGTAATGACGTGAAATATTCTCAGTGGTAGATTGATCATGGGTTTAAGTCCCCTTGTATTAAAAAAAATACCATTTTAAACTTATAAAAATGTTTTACTCGTTGGCGAAAATGACACTATAAATGCTTTATTTTAAAAAATTCAGTTTTAACTTTAATTATTGAGAAAAATGAAAACATATACCGACACTTTTTTTATCTACATATTCTTTTATAACAATAAGTTGAGTTAAATTTAGAATCCCTGATTTTAAAATATGCCGTTATAGCAATTTGTTCATACTTAATCATTAGGAAACATCAACCTTAAACGCTAATTACTGAAGCAAAATAATAAATTTAGGTTCATAATGACATTAGAAATTTTACAATTGCTTATAGATATTTAAATTTACGATGATTTAATTTATAGATATTTAAATTTAAGAGAATATAATTTTTGAAAAAAAAATCATAAATATTTAGAATAACTACATTAAAAAATATGTAATGAAATTAGGCGAATTCCAACCATATATTTTATTTATACTTTTATTTACATTTTAATTTTCTTTGACTTTATCCCTTTTTTCATTTTTTTCACCTGCCTTTCTTTTTGAAGTAACGAGGCGATTTCTATTTAGATAATGAATTTTTATAAAAGTTCTTAACGACAGAATAAACGTATTGCTGTTTTATATTAACTGTGTCATTTCGGAATCCATTCTTTACATAATTGTTCAGTTACTTTAGGGAACAAGCGGGAAATTATATTTTTTCCTTTTGTTTTTCTATTAGAATTTTTTCAAGTTGCAATCGGGCAAACTGGCATTTCTATAATAGTTTTAAATTCTTGTAAATTCACTGCAAAAACTGAGGAAAGTCATTATAGAAAATAACAAATGTCTTAGAATATCTCGCAAAAAGAAATGCTCCAATATTAGTAAGACCTAGTAAGGCCGAAGTAAAAGTGCGAGCTTTGCGACAAAGTGACGTCACTAGAGAAAATCGGATTATTGGCGCGGCGAGAGTTTCTTCAAAGGAGTGAACCAGCCCTTCTATTCTCTTTAACCCTGGGTTGACACACGTTATAGCACTCCCCCATCAGAATTATATGCGTGATAGAATTTGATGAACGGATACCACTATTTGATTCACTTCTATTTTGTGAGAAGCCGGGAGAGCTGTATTAAGATCCCCGTACTTTTGAGTGCTGGTTGTTAGCGCTGTGTTAAGTTCACGGTCGTGGTCGCTCCTGTGTTTTACAGTCGAGTGTATACGTTATTCGTTGTGTGTGATGGAGTCTGAGCAGCAACGGCGCTAGGAGGTAGATAATGACTCAGTCACAAGTAACAAGTCAACTGTTCAATGTGGATCATTCATCAAAGTAGGCGTGTTGAGACAGAAGGGGGCATTACTGTCAAGATAGGCGTGTTCCAACCGAAGTGGAAGTTTCTATCAAGGTACGCATGTTTACATCACGTCCGGGTCACCAATGTGTGTATTTGTTATGTGTGTACCTTATCTATGAAGAGGTACCCCAACATGGAATAACACGTCTTGCATACTAGTGAATTGGAATTTTATTTTTGTAGTGGTAGACACACTACAGTACCCCATGAGACCTCCTTTTCCCACCATCGTGGATATTGGATTTGTTCGATGAAAGGTGTTCAACACACTCGTTAACCTCTATATATAAAAGGGTGGGAAAGAAATGCCTAGCTTTATTAGACATGGGGAAATTGGTATTTGATAATTGCAAAATTCCATATCCAATGAATACAAAATTCAATCACTTGTCTAGCCTCTCAATCGAATTACAAAAATTCTCATTACTTGTACATCAATTCAAAATATGGTACTTAGATACCGTGAAGTTGATGGTCAACATGTAAAAACGCCTGTTTCTGGTATGCGCAGGTCACAGGCTTCAGATAGTACTCCTATCAAACACAATATCGTGATCATTCACGGTAACAATACATACCGATAATATCCGACCATTATCGATAACAGAATATCATAACGATAGTTATTGAATAAGATATTGTGAGTGTTAAACATAATTTGGGAAATGTCCATTGTAAAAATTTAAACTTGAGAATGTTATCATGTTAAAGAGATATTTTAAAGAGTAAATCGCGATCCGAAAAGTGTAGTTCTAGGGAACTTGCCGGTGACTACTCTGAAGAATCAGTCCCTAAAACCAACCCTAAATAGTTGCTTAACTTTTTAAGCCATGAATTGTTTCGTTACTTCGATAAATAATACTCTTAGGTGGAATTTAATAAACTGTGTACTTTCAGTTGGCTGCAGTCAATTTCAAGAAAAATGATGCAGATTCTCCACACGTATATCCCGGAGTTTGATTCAAGAACTGTAGATGAAGAGAAGATTCTATGAAGAACTGATGAGTGAAAGTTTCTAATCTTTTACAGTCTGTAAGTACTAAATGCAACTCTTTATTAATCATCTAAACTATTAATCTGAAGATATTTACAAATTTACCGAAAGTTGTTTCAAAGACAATTGTTTCTTTCCATAGAATGAAAATAGTTTTGTATTAGTCGGACCATTTTATCGCGTGATCAATACTTTAATTAAGTAGTTTGAGTCGTGGTGGCTCAGAGGATAAAACATTCTCCTCCGAATGATATGACTAGAGCTCGAATTCCAGCGGTGGCTGTTCTGTTCTCAGCTCTCACTTACCAGTGCTGAAGTAAAATATTCTCACGTGTTAGATTCCTCTTGCTGTCTGAATTACTGTGGCAGGGTTTCCTGGTATATTTCTCCATGCAACAAAAGTACTGCTTAGGGACCGAAGGTGTGCGGTATGAGTCCTCGTTAAACTGCTCTGGCGTAAAGTGCTCGACTTCGCGTGCAGGTCATCGGGCTACCGAATCTGGAGTGACATTCCCTCCGCAGAGTTTCAAAATTGTGATGGCATGTCATCGGATCATCCTCAAGGATGTTTCTCAGACCGTCGCCAATTGTGCAGCTCTAGTGCGGAGTAAATAAACTACATCAACATGTAACACAAGCGCTAGCTAGTTTTTCCCAATCCAGGGTCCAATCCAATTTTTCAATCACATCGATAGTCATAAAACTCTGAATTCGGTAGACTGTCAAAGAGAAAAGTGTCGTCGTTATATTTTTAGTGACTGGAAAACAAATTTGTTGGATCCAATATTTTCTCGTAGATCATTTTTGATTCTCACCATCATAAATTTAAGGTCTAACTGTAGAATATTGTGTATCCCATATTTTCTCATTCTACTCGGCTATTCTCCTCTAGATTAATTCTTTTTAAAACATTCTTCAAATTACTGTAGCAATCAGGTAAATAATTTGTTTACTTAGCGCTAAACATATCTAAACATATCAAACATATGATCGGACTTCTTGATTGAATGTATGAAATATGGATGTAAGGAAGGAAATAAACTTAAAAATACTTTATTATAATTAAGCAAAATTGTATATTGCTAATTTTTATGTATTACAAACACAAAGAATAAAATTTTTTAATTCATTGCTCAACGCATTTTTTACATATACATTTTCATTTGTACATTTTCCACATTTCTGCGAATTATTATTTCTATAATTCTTATAATTAATATTATTTCTCCTAAGAACTTGTGCAGTCTTGTTTCGGCACTTCTCTGGGTAAAAACTAACAGTTAGAAATGAAGTAAAGCTATCAAAATAAAATACTTACCAAAACATTTCGTTTTTGTCACTTTTTCCGACACAAAAATACCAATCTAAAATTTTAGGCACTTTTTGAAAATTTGAATTCACAGTTATTCTAATTGGACCAACTTCGCAACAGTGTTTGCAGAACTCATCGAATGCTATACGTTGAACACGCATTGCATCGTCATTTCTGATCCGATAACCTTATAAAGCAATTAATTGTTGTCCCGGTCAAATGACCGGTTGTGGTAGAATTAGGCGTAGGACAAGTATTATTTGAAACAAAAAATACAAAACAAAATAGAATATTATCTGTATATAATTGTTAGAAAAAGTCATGAAGTCAAATGTGCAAAAACGATAAGATGATAAGAGATGCAAAAGTTCTTAAACGGTCATTTGACCGGTTATGAATCATTTAGAGTTATGCACAAATTCTATGTAATACTGTTCATTTGTAGATCTTAATGTAATCCTAGAAGAAATCTTTGGGCTTGAATCGCAAATAAAATTAAATTTATGAAATTAATTACCTGAATTAAAGACTAGGAACAATTAAGAAGCATCTGGGATGGTGAGCTGTAGCGAGAAGGAAGCCCCTGGTTTATCAGAAAATTGTGATTTCCAGTATTTTAGTTCTACCGTTTTTATACACTAAAATCAAATTTCTTAGATTAAGAAACATTTTAAAATTAGTGATGAGTTATATAATTTAAGTATAGTGATGGGAATTTCTCTGCTGACGTTATTTTTCTTAAATTCAGTCACATTAAGGTATCAAATTTTGGGGGTTTAGAAACTTGTTTAATACATTGCGCAAAACCCGAACTTAAGAATCTATTGAATCACGAATTGAAATGCTATTTTAGTAGTTGGAGGAGCCTGAAACCAAATGGGGCTATTTTCAGATCTGACACTTTCTTTACACTTGTGTTTGGATCATGCAGCCGCAGTAGATTCTGCTAAATTTCATAATTTAATACTAGTCATTCAATACTGATATTTTAATTCTGAATTAAGGTATGTATATTTTGACATTTTAATTGTATTTGACAAAACCAAAGCCTTAGTGGAATCATTAAAATAATTTTTGAGAATTCATTCCCTTGATATTGTCTAGCATATTAAAAAAATTCAATTAACATTAAGGGTTTCAAACTTTTGATAAATCTTCTGTCTAAAATTTTGAGGCTATGTATTCCATATAGCAGCAGCTTTTCACTCAAACCATAAGAGTTAAAACTTGATACGTAAGAATCCCGATTCCAAAAAAAGTGAATTCCAATCTCTTTCAAGCCAAGAAATTAAATATTCAGTGATTTAATTGGTAAGAATTCTGCATACAGTTTTCTATTCCTAAAGTATAATTTTACTTTAGAACGTTTCTTAAACGCTTTTTCAATATTTAGTAAATGCTTATGGGGTTTACTAAAATGTTTCTTTGAAAATATTCTACAATGAAAAACGTAGTTTAGCTTCAAATTCAACGATCGAAATGTGTAATTAAAAAAACGGGTATAGCTGTGGGGAGTGAGTTGTTATCGACAATATCAACCCTCATCTATGAAAAGCTATCCCACCATAGAATCGAGTTAACATGTCTTATATACTAGTAAAATGAAATTATATTTTTGTAGTGGTAGAAACGCTACAGTACTCCCCCACCAGAATTATATCTGTGATAGAATTCGATGAACGGATACCACTAGTTAATTCATTGCTGTTTTGTGAGAGGCCGGGAGGGCTGTATTAAGATCACCATACTTTTTGCTGATCGTGAGAGCTGTATTAAGTTAACGGTTGTGGTCATTCCTGTGTTGCCTTCAGCAGTAGAGTTTATGCGTTGTACGTTGTGCGTGATCGAGACTGAGAAGCAACAGTGCGAGGAGGTGGATAATGTCGCAGTCACAAGTAGTAAGTCAACTGTTCAATGTGGACCATCCATCGAAGTAGGGGTGTTCAAATTGAAGTGGGAGTTACTGTTAAGGTAGGCGTGTTCACATCACGTCCGGGTCACCAATGTGGGGAGTAAGTAGTTATCGACAATGTTAGCCTTCTTGTATAAAGAGGTACCCCTTGCACCACGCTGGAAATCGAAACAATACATGATTAATTTAGGCTCCAGAATGTTCGCGAAAAGAGCTTAAACAGCGGAGTGTTGTAACTTTAAATACGATNCGGGAAAAATAGCTTCGGGGAAAATAAAACCCGTTTTTAGTAGAACAGATTAGTTAGAAAACATATTTTTGATTAAATTTAATTACGTTTAGAATTTTATTTATATATTGAATACATTAAATTATTTATACAATAAAGATTATTTACATTATTAATTTAGAATTTTGACTTCTTTTTTTCCTGACACTTAAAATAGATATTTTCAAAAATAAACTGCTGTTGCATTTTAACTTAATACTCAACAATTTGTCTAAATATGAAATAAAATATTTATTCTAATATAAAAGTTTTCAGCTCCGAATAGAGAAAAATATAAGATTAAAAGCATTAAACTAATCAAAGAAAATAATAAAAGAGTTTAATTAGAAATTTTACTTTGTATTTCATGTACAATCTAATTCCATAAATTACTAGGAAGTTTAAATTGTACACACAAAGAGACTAGTAGAAAAGCTTTCGAAATTTAAACAAAAAATACTTAAATAAAAGAGAAAGCAATTAGAATTTTTACTTTGTACTAAATGTAGATTGAAACTAATGACGAACTTATAATTAAAATATCTTACTTTTATTTGTGATAGAAATTGCAATTTATGCAACTTTTTATGAGGTAAATTTATGCAACTATTATAGGTCAATGTATATTTAATAATTTTTATGCAGAAAACCAGTATCTTAAAAAGTAGCAGTTAAAAATATTTTACTTTACAAATAAAAGAACCATAATCATTTTATGGACATTAAGAAAATTACAATGCCCATCCATAAAAAATGTAATTTTCTTAAAAATAGTAAGTGCATTTAAAACTATATCTTTTAGCCAGCTGCAAATTAAATATATACAATCTAGATAAAGGTAAAAACAGTTGAAATTTTACAAGAAAGGTTCACGATGCTAAATCTTTGCACCACAGCCAGCTGTTAGCCTTGGCCGTCTGAGCAGTTTATTCCATACCAATGCATAACATGCGCTAATTTACTGCACTAATTTACTCCTATACAACTTATCCACTTCTATGTTATGTTTTCTAAATTTGTTGCACTAAATCAAACTAATTCTACGCTTTAATATACTAGTAAAATAAAGTATTTCCAATAAAGCAACTATTTTTAAATAAAAAGAAGATAAACAAGTACTTAATGATTATATTAAATATACCTTAATTTATTTTCTAAATAGTACATAATTTGTATTCATTTTATGTATAGTAACAGAATTATATAATTTTATTAAAAATTAACACTAAAACTACTATACACTATTTTATATTTAAATACTAAAAATATTTCATAGAATTTAATTATTCATCAAACATATAAGAATATACAAATAATTTGGTTTTTAAGCATTCCTATGTAATTTAAAAAACACAACTTCTTATGTACCATATTTTTTATTTAAATATATATATTTAAAGGAAACATTTTAGAACAAGATAAATATTGGGTTTTAGTAATCAAGAGGTAAAGATATACAAAATCTTCAGAATATACAGAAATGATATCGACATTTAAAGAGAACTAAAACAAAACCGAAAGTTTACTCAACTGTTCCTTGGCGCTAAAGTATCTCGCCAAGGAAGCCAACAAAGCTTTGCAGCTATTTCAGCTAAAAATAGAATATATATTGAAATATACTTAAACATTATAAGTTTAAAGTTTAAGAAACAATAAAAACTTATGTTAAATGCAAAAAAAGTGAGCAAAAACGAGCGTAATTGATTATTAAAGCAAATAAAACATGATTATCAGAGCATGACTGAGTATCGGAAAAATTTTAAAATCAATTTTAAAATAGAAAAAGTGAAAAAAAATGTCGCCCTTTCTTGTAAAAAGTTATCGGACAGTCCCTAGAAAACTTCTCCGTGCAGCAAAATGCTCAGGACTTTTGTACCATTCTTATTTCTGAATTAAAAAGACAGACAGTTAATTGCATCAGACGATCGCAATGCTAAACGAATGGACGGGAATCGAAGCGGTCTCAGTGAACGGCAAGTTTGGGCTACAGTCACGTGACTTTATCTTGTCCACGGGTCGGGGGTTATTCTACTCTCTCTACCCAGTATTTCAACTCTATGATTCGAACCCGCAGCCATTGGCTTCGCAGTCAGGCACGCTTACCACTCGGCCACCTGACCGGCGTTCTAAAATACAAAAGAATATAAATAAACAATAAGATACGAACCCATAAGAAATAAGATTCAGTCATTCTTGTTTAACCAGAGACGAAGAGCAGGGCTCGTGTTATTCACGTGATTCATGAAATTAAACAAAGAGCCAGACTCGTGATATGCAAGTTTGATCTGAAATTTTCTTCCAGAGTGAAGTAGTTAATTTAATTTTTCAAACTTCACTTATGAAAATTGTTTTTTTATACACTAATAGATCCAAATGATAAATCTATGATAAAATCATCGTTTTTAAAGTGGGCCTTTTTTTTTTAAGATTGAAAGTAAAAAATTTTGGCGTTTAACAAATTTACAAAATATTTTTGCACAATACATTTGAATTTACCGAAGTATTGTATTTTTATTGTATTATGTTTTCCCATTGTTGTGTCTGACTACTACAAGAAACATTCGAATCGAAATGAGATTATACAGTTAGAATCCCTGTACTCAAAGCTCACTAAACTTACGTTAGTACTCCAATTTACAAAATTATAGCAGTTTTTATGCAATGTGATAACAGTGGATAGACTAATGATTTAAAGAGTTTTATTTCGTTTATCTCAATCACATTTTTCACAACCTTAAACATGATATCTCTTATTTTCTACATTTTTTCAGGAGTGTCTGTGGGTTTGATACTTATGCTTTGAACTAAATATCAAGAAAAAAATGAAATTTCATTTCTTATGCAAGTTTTATCGCAAAGACATCGGCGAAAAGTTTTAAAATTAGCTATTTTTACTACATTGTTCCCTAACTCAGAAGTATAGGCTCTTTTAAGATAATAGTTCAACATATTTGATTGATTGCTGAATAAAATCCTCAAAGTATATATTTTTTAGGTGTTTAGCGAATATGTGAAAGCCGTTTTAACCTAAAAATGACAATTTAAAGAATTTTGGTACTTGTGTAAGTTTTTACACGCAATACAACTAGTTAAAATTTTATATTCGTATTTTAATTTTCAAAATTATTCTGATACCTTAAAACAAAGTGACCTAATACTGTAATACATTACAGTAAAAGTGAAGAAACAGTTCTACGCTGACGTGTGTAGGATTTGCGCAATGCTTATAGTTTCTTAACTGTTTCGAAAATATGATGGGGTTCCTACACCCGAAAATTAAGAAACTAACAGGTCTCTTATTAAAACGAATTGTCATGGAAATTATCGAAATGAGATTAACATGAAAGGGAATGTTCCAAAAAGATGCGTGTGCTAATTAATTGTAATAAACTGGGAAAATGTATTGCATTTAACATATACTATTTGTTAATTTTTTCTTCTATTTCAGGTATCAGCAAGTGTTCAGCAATCTCTTGCCAGAAGCCCCTAAGAAGACCATTGTGACGTCACCACCCTTTCATTCAGAAAAGGTTCTTCAGATTTGTGTTTTCCAATAATTTTATCTTTGCATTAAGACTTCTTGGTTTCAAAACTATTGCCAAGTCATTGGTTTCAGAACTAGTCAGCTTGTTATCAATGTAAAATAGAAGCATGTGAACAGGTTATTTAAACTTATCGGAATATTTTGTATATTACTTCATTTTTAATTGCTTTCAACTTAATTTAATAACAAAGTATAGTAACGCTTTCAGAACATGAAAACTTTCAGAAATTTTGATCTCAGTTTGAGAACGCGATTCATAATAATCAAAATTTGAATAAAATCGACAAATTCACATACTTAAAAAGTTTACTGAAATCAAAAGCACAAACCGCGATACAGGGTTTGACAATGTCTGAGAAAAACTACGATATTGCAATTAAAATTCTTTAAGAGCGATACGGCAAAAAAGAAATTTTGATTAGAACGCATATTAATAATTTATTAAATTTGTCGCCTATTCGTAACACATCTAACTTAATAGCGCTCCGCGAATTATACGATACGTGTGAAATTCAAAAACGTAATTTAGAATCACTTGGCATCGAACTTGAAAGTTACGGTAATTTACTTTTCCCAATTATAACTAAACTAATACCTGATAGTTTAATTTTAAATTATAATCGTGAACATAAAAACGAAACAGATTCATGGAACGTAACAAAATTGTTAGAGTATTTAAAATCCGAAATCGAAATAAGAGAAAGAACATTTTCATTTCAGAAAAAAGAATCTAATTCTTTTCAGGGTTATTCTAAAATTAGAAATGAAAGAGAATTTTCTGGTTTTGAAAATAATAAATTCCCAAAAATGAGATGCGATAGGACTGCTACTTTAAATGTTATTAGCAATGAAAATAAATGTGTATTCTGTTCTAATGATCATAAAAATGATGAATGTAAATTAAGTGTTGCCGAAAAGAAACAATGTTTATTACGTCAAGGAAGGTGTTTTAATTGTCTAGAAAAATTTCATATTGTCAAACGATGTTTTAAGAAAACTGCTTGTACTATTTGTCGTAAAAATCATAATGAAAACATATGCGATAAACTTTCAGAAACAAAACCCTAAGTCCCCCAAAATGAAACTATTGTGTCTTCTGTTGCAGAAAGTAAAAATTCGAGCAGTAATATATAAACGTCGCAGATATATAAATTTTTAATTTCTGTGTGTATTAAACTCGTGTAGCAAGTTTTCTTTCCTATAGATATAAATTTATTATTTCAAATGCTCCAGTCTTTTGATTTGATGCAGTAATTTGAATAAATGATTTTTGAATACTTTTATAACTATCAGTTTTATTAAATACAAATTTTTTAGTTTTGTCTTATTCATTTTATTGCATAATACTCCTTATTTTTTTTAGTAAAACAAGTTTTTCCCATATACAGTTTAGTTACTAGAAGCAAATTTTAGAGATTGTATACAAAAAATCCTCCCTTAAAGATTTGTCTTTAGTAATTGGTTAATTCCATATTTTTCATGATTTCAAATAGCTCTAATCTGGTTAATAACAAATTCAAAACTAAGCCTATTTAAATACAATTGTGCATTCAAAATTTTAGAACCTGCCAGTTTTTTTTAAATTTATAAGCACATAATACAAGATTTAAAAATTAAAATTTTAAATTCAATGTAGTAAATATGTCTGACAAGTTTAAACAAATTTTAAATTCGGAGATCTGCTTACAAACTCAAATAAGGAACAACTTTTAATATTTCATTTTGGAGATTTTTAATACGAGAATGTGTAACTTTGCGTTCATTGACAATATTACCTTTATGATCTAGCTAAACTTAAATTTTGACCAACTTAAACTTTAGTCTGCAAAAGAATTTTGTGGAGCTAATCACTGTTATTTTCTAGTCTAAAAGTAATCAAAATGGTTTTTCTTAAGATAATCGATATAAAATATGTAATAACAGTTTATAGTTTAGTGACAAGAATTGATTTACATTTCTCCTTTGTTTAAAAACCTCTCTAAATTTCATCCAGATATAAATTCGTTTACATAGCAGTTTCTCAAATATTGTAAATTCGTTACAACCACTTTAAATTAACTATCATTTCATATTTCAGTTATCACATATTAAGTATTTTTGCACACATTTTAATTTTAACTTTAAAGGAAAGAAAATGTCTAAATTATTAATCCCAATGAAGTTGAAATTCCTAACTTATGTTTAATTTTTATGCTTTAACCTTTCGTTTCACTTAAAATTAATTTATGTTAAATCCATGTTAAATCTTACATTTTTTGTAATGTAGTGTTTCTTTGAAATTTCGTGCTGCCTTAACTAAGAAAACCTCAAAGGTAAAATATGTAATTTTAACGATATACAGAAATACGTTTAATGTCTAAAATATTGCACTTTAACCAAATTTTTTATTGGTACACTTCAATTTTAATGCTACATTTTAGCCACTTCTACAATAAAATCACAAACTTGAATTTAAGAAAAAAAGTTTTCACCGAACATAACAAAAGGTGACAATTCTATGACTCAGTTGAGTGCTCGAAGAATTCTGAAAATACTGCAACAATCTAGGTTTAGGTCATAAAAATAAAAAGGTTTCAGGATTTCTAATATTCCATAGATCAGCATGTTCATAGTTTTTTTCCTACAAAATACTTAAGTGAAAGTAGCCCTATATGGCCTTAAATATATGTTCAAAAGAAAACTCTTAAGCGAAATTAAAACCGAGTAACGTCATGTTAAAGGTTAAATATATTGACTGGCAAATATAAGTTTTTGAATAATGCTCTAGAAAGAGACTGGGAAAGATAAGGATAACAAATGTGGAAATTTATACTATACTTTAATTAAATAGAATTAGAAGTTTTTGTAACTAATAGATCTTAAAAAAATTATTCAATATTATGTTGAATCTATTCGTAAAAGTTTTGTTTATTTTAACGCAGTCTGTCTATTAGTTTTGGTATTTTATATCTACGCGTTATGAACACAAAATTTTGGTTTCGCTTACAATACATTGCATAAAATATTGATTAATACTAATATCAATTTGAGAACAAATTAAAGCATGAACAAAAGTTAACTCAGTTCAGTTTAAGTTCAATAAAAATCCGCATATGAGTATGTATTTTAGTTCACATATGAGTATGTATTATAGTATTTTAATTTAGAGAAAACTAAAGCCAAATATTTTTAATTTGTCCCATCTTTATTAATTCATTTATATGCTTAGTTTCTAGACTGAAAGTTATTTTTGTCTTAGAGTAGAGATAGTTAGTTTCCATAAGAAAAATATATTTCTCCAGAACCATTTTCTTCAAGAAGGGGTTGTGTACTTTCTAAAGAACGTGCATTGTAGTACAAGGAAATCAAACCTTACATTTCTCGCCCACAATTTGATGCAATCTAGGCAGACTAGGCACGTGCATCAATGTGCGGAATGTTTTCAGATAAGAAATATACAGTACTACCATTCCAATCGTGTGCTTTTTTTCCTACTCATAAAAAATAACTGTATGTATTAAAAAGTTACTCATGGCAAAAATCAAACACGCGGTGTTAGGCATTTTCTAAATTTTTGAATTTAAAAAAGACTTCTGAACGAACTTCTAGTTTAAATAAACCTTTAAAAAAACTCATTTTTAAAGTAAAATGTTACGTTGGATAGAATGACTAACCATTAAAATAGTTTGAATCGTAATTTTGCGGATTTTTATTGAACTGAGTTAACTTTTGTTCATGCTTTAATTTGTTCTCAAATTGAGTATTTAATCAATATTTTATGCAATGTATTGTATGCGAAACCAAAATTTTGTGTTCATAACGCGTAGATATAAAATGCCAAAATTAATAGACAGACTGCTTTAAAATAAACAAAACTTTTACGAATAGATTCAACATAATATTGAATAATTTTTTTAAGATCTATTAGTTACAAAAACTTCTAATTCTATTTAATTAAAGTATAGTATAAATTTTGAACGTTATCAAAATGTTAACTTATTTCCCAAAAATTCTGCTATATACTGGCATTTAACGGATGCTTTCTATGCAATACTATGCATCGATGCGCGACAGGAAAATGCATCGATGCATCGATTTGCGACAGGCAAGTTTAAATCGGAAATTTCGAAACGACCAAGAGAATGTGGGATATGAAGTGGAGGTTCTGCTTTCTCTTCGTGTTTCACACTCATTCAGCCGTTTCGGAACTTCTTGGTTCAAACCTGCAAGTTTCTGCTGTGGAACAATGTCCCCATATTGAGTTGAAAGTTTAACGTGAAATCTCAGTGATGGTAGTGGTTACAGAATATAAAACTACACTGGTACAATAGTTTAATTATAACAAAGAATAAATTTTGAGAACACGTAACTATGTTCATGTCTCGGGACTCGAAGAATAAAGGACTCGAATAATTCAAAGCAATAAGTTATCACATTTAGTGAAAAATTTAAGGGGGAAAAAAACTGAGTGATAGTGTAATATTTTATTTCAAGTTAGTGTACAAAGTGCTTCGAATTAAAACACTTACTTGCCTAAAGATTTTGCTAAATTTTATAGAAATGCAAGCTAAATTAAATCTGATCTATTTCTTTTCATAAAATTACATTCTGCTGGATGTAGAAAAGTTTTTTGAAGTTAAAATGTAGTTTTTTTTTAAAAGCAATTTCTTTGAATGTTTAATTCCATACTATCAATTTCAGTTTAGTGTTCATTTTAAAATCAAATTGTTCTTATAATTGCCTTTATATAATTTTGTACATAGTTAATATTGTACAAAGACAATACTGTTAATATTCCATATTAAAGTATAAGTAGCTTCGATACAAAATCTGTTTATTGCTATTAAGTTAAAATAAATATTGGAACAAATCACGTCAGATTCAGTTTCAACTAAAATTTTCCAATAAAAATAAGAGAAAAAATTTAATATTGAGGCTGTGGAAAAACTTCATACTATGTATTAAGTTTCTTTTCAAAAATCGCAGTTAGCAAATTTTGCATGCAGTTTTTTATTGAAATAAGACTAAGCAGATACTGTACATTGTGATATTTCAATGTCAAATTATTGAATGTATTTGTATATTTAGTTTAAACGGAAAAATGTATTTTATTAATTTTAAATTGAAATTTAATAAAGTTCATGTTCTTAAATTGTCAAGTTGTTTTTAGTGTATATCATTCAGAAATTTATCTAAGTATTGCTTCAACTCATTGATTTTTGCAAACATAGGAGAAACCCGGGCAAGACGGGACATCACTTTTTCTTCTATGCATACATCTAAAGTGCGTTTTCAGAAAGAAAATATTGTTGTTTCAATCCGCACAAGTTTTTTCGTCAGTTCACAAGGTGTTACCGAAATGCAAGCATTGTTTAGTTTTTCTTACAACGTGTTATATTTTTCTAGGTTTGTATGCTGTTATTATTTGTTTAATACATTGCAATAAATTTTTCAAATTTGGGACACTGTAGTGTATTTATCGTACAAACATAATGAGTAGTGAAAATTAAAATTTATTTGTTTAAACAAATTTGCAGATAATTTTTTTTAAAAATATACTATTCGGGCAAGATGGACCAGGCAAGATGGACCGGGCAAGATGGGACAGCCAAAATGGAATAAAAGTGCAAAATAAAAATTAAACTCTCCGGATTTGGCAAAAAGCATAAGAAATAAGGTAATATAACAAAAAATATATATAAACTAGGAAATATAACTTACTGTTACTGAAGACTGGATTCAATGTTCAGATTGCTTAGAATGGGCTCATGAAGAGTGCTGTGCTTATTCCGGTTTTGGCAGCTTCTTATGCAGTAACTGTGATGTTTAGGAACGTTTTTTGTCGATTATTCTTTTATTCTGACATTAATTTCTGTGATTTTTGAAATATAATTATGTGTCCCATCTTGCCCGGGTACGATGGAACAATGTTCTATTTTTGTTTATGTTAAGTTATTATTATTGAACTTTATTATTTATTTATTTTCTGTATGAGATATGTAAGAGCAATGTTCCCACCATATGTTTACAATATAAAAGATATAAAATTGCTCTAGTTTACTATTTTTTAAACCACGTTTCCTTAAGTGGTCCATCTTGCCCGGGCTTCTCCTAACATGGCTAAATGTTACCGAGACACTAATACTTTAAGCAAGTGAACGTTAAACTTTAGTACTTTACCTTCCTTGAACATTTTAAAGGTATTTGTCTTTAGCAACGTTGATATTTTAACTAAAGAGGAAAAAGGTTTTTCTGTACTCAGTCTAATTAAGAGATTATCCCTTGTTGATAAGTGAATATATTTCTACAGTAAAAGTTTGAATGTATTTCAGC